GTGGGTGCAGCGGCAGCGTACAGCAACATGTCCGCACCAACAACTCCCGACAAGTGGTGCGCGATGGGGACAGTAAACTCGCCGCAGACTCCCAGCTGAACCCTTGGCAACCTCAAGACGCCACTGACGGGCTGCACAAAAAGCCGCTCCGTGTGCAGCTTGACGGCCTCGGGAAGCATCCTGTTAACCATAATCTTCATCTTCTCTTTCGTGAGAACATCCTGCCGCCGGCACAAAACCCTGCCCCCAGTGAAATCCGATCGTACGTCTCCCCGCACCGTGCAGTACTTCCTTGTGTCCTTCAGGTCCTCCGCAAACACTTTAATCCGGATCGGCGCCCAGTCAGGGGTGGACACGGTGTACGCTTGCCAGGCGCCTGCTCTTCCCCGTGGGAGCTCCCGCACCACGGCGGTCTGCAGCTGGGACAAATTCAAGGCGACCCTGTCAAAGATGCAGCGGTGCTCCGCGAGGGCGCAGGGGCCACCGGCGAGCCAAAGGAGAAAAAGCAGCACGGTGGACACAAATCGACGCATGTCTCTGTTACTCGTTTATTCCAGCCTTGGACGTGTTCTTCTTTTCTGCGTCACCTGCGCGAGAGAAGGCGGGAGAGGAGAGTGTGCAGTAAGTGTGAGGGAGAAGCGGGGAGTACCGAGAGAGCAAGAGAAGGGGAGGCAGCCAGAGCCGCCCTCGGTGACGCTCGTCACAGACACAGCAGGGAGGTGTAAGCATGTAACAAAGAAACAAAAAAGACGGAGGCGCGGTCGGAGCGGATTCTTGTTGTGCCTCTCTTCCTCCTCTCACTCCACACTTTATTTTGTGACGTACCAAGGGAGTGAGGAGGCGTACATACGGCATCATGCTCTTTGGTTGCTGCTGAGCCGCTGTCATTCTCCAGGCTTCCAAAAGTGGTCTTTGCTAAGGGCTGTGGATGTGAAACGTAGATTTCTTCTGTTGGCATTGATTTTAGTGGCGTTTGTGAGGTGCTCCTGCTCTTCTCTTTGCTTTTTTGCGTCATGCATCTAAATATTTCTGGGTGACGAGAATGTAGAGAAAAGATGTCACGATGTTATCGTAAACAAAAATTAAAAGACCGGTTATGAAGCTTGTGGCCGGAGAATACGCTTTTCTCATGCAGCTTCAGCCCCACACTTGTAAGCCACTGATAAACGTTGAAAGCAAAATCCCCATCCATGTGTTTTGCCATGTTTACTTCTTGCACCGTAGTCACCATTGTGTTTATACGTGCAGCTCGTGTAGTGACAGTCAACACAACATCGTGCCTCACACCACACGGTGAAGTCCATTCTTATTTGTGCTTTCATGAAAAGCCACCCAAACACAAATAATAATGGAGTCGGACTGTTTGTGTCGTTGGAGAACATACCTCAGCTCATCTGGTTGCTTGTCTCTGGCGGCAACTTCACGGTAATACCATCGAGCGCGTCCGTAAGCTGAATTTGGCACGATAATCGTGATGTCTTTGTGACGGATGGCGCCAAGTCGAGCATGTCCACCTCGTCTTCTGAGGGCTCACTCAGCTTCTCAAAGTCCTCCTCGCGGAGTATCACGTGGCAGGTGCTGCAGGCACAAGTTCCATCACATGCGGCCTCAATGTCAAGTCTTCCCAAGTCGCGTATTGCCTCCATGAGGGTAATGCCCGTGGGAGCGGTGAGGGACACCGTTTTGCCCTCGGCTGACGTGGCGTGAACCCGCACTTTGCCCGGCGTCGCTGCCGTCCCCGCAACGTTGGCACATAAGCGCAGCTGACACCGGCTGAAAAACGCAGAATCGTGGAGAAGACACATCGATGACGAAGGCGTGAGACGACGCCATAAAAGTCGCTGCCGGCTCTTTTGTGCACAAAAGCCAATTGACATCGTGGCGGCACTCCCGCATAAAACAAAACAAAACAAAAAAGGGGAGAAAAGATTTTTAAAAAAATGAAGAAAAAAAATATGCGTTAATTTCATAGCGTCGCGCCGCTAAGGAAGGAGAACCATCCACAAACATACATATACACACAGTGAGAGAGAAAGGGACTGCAGTGATCCTCTGTTATTATTATTGTTATTGCAGGCTCCTTCCATAGCAAAAGTCCCAATTCTGTTGGTAACGCCTCTCATGCCCGTCCACTTCCCTCCCCGCTGCCGTCTCCAGTGTTGACTCGCCAACCGTCTTCTCATCTCGGCGGGTGTGCGTCCTTCACAAAAAACCAGCGACCATCAGAGGAGTCATGTCCCAATGCGTGGCCCCACATACCCGCGAGGTGCGTTAGGGGCACCCCTGCCAAGTACTCTATTCTTGCTGCTCCCAACATGCATGGGCGGGTCAACGGCGAGGTTCCCACAACTGCTTCCAGGCCTCCCTTTAAACCACTTCTCTCCATGCGGTTTCCCACCCATCGTGAGATGCGTGTGGCGTTCACTGGCCGCATACACCGTGCTCGTGAGTACACACCGACGGCTGTGCCAAAAGTCAATGGACAGAAAAGAAATAAACTCCACAAGGTCCAAACGGTTGCTGTGCGCACTAACTTCCCCTAGAAATTCGGCACAAAACCCCAAAAAGGGATAAGCGTGCATCAGAAAAAAAAATAATAACTAAAAAAGCGCCCTGCAGAGTAGTCCTCCTCCTTGAGCAGGTTGGTTGTGGCACCCCAACATCAACGATGATGCCCCATTCCTTCTGCCGTCCGCAATTCGCCTACTTTGTTACCAGACGGTAAGGAGTAAAGGAAGTGATAAAAGGAAAAAAGGAAAACCTGCACACAAGTCACACGCCAGTCAACATGCACACACGCAGAATAAATAATAAATAAAAGTCACTCCCAAGTTGCTGCCGAAAAAAAAAAAATGTGCCTTTCGTCGCGTCCATCTCTCACTGTACGTGGTGCGCCGACTGTTTTCTGTCTCATTGTTGGATGGTAATGAAGGAAAATAATAATAATAAATAATAAATAATAATAACAACACGCCCTTTCTTTCTTTCATTCCCCCCTCTCTTTACACACACGTGTGTGTGGCCACACGAAGGGAAAAGAAGGGCACCTCAATGAGCATCCACACAAATGGAAAAAAAGAGTGACAGAAGGAAGAGAGGAAAATAAAAGAAAAAAGAATCCACAAATAAGTCAAATAAATCAGCAAACTGATATAAATATATATAAAAAAGGATCCACACAAAAAATTAAACAAATAAACAAAAAAAAAAAAAGATAAAAAATGACATACCGGCAAACAAGTGGTCCAGAAATTCACTATAAATACGTATGTATGTATGTATGTATACACACCTACACGGGGACGCACACCGCACATGCATCCATGTTGATTATATACATATATATATATATATATGTGTGTGTGTGTGTGTACACAACAACACATCAAATAAAATAAAAAAAGAAAGTGAAGAGGAGGGGTGCGTGTGCGTGTGTGAGTCCTTGTGTATTTGAATTTGTTGCAGGCACGCACAGTCGTAAAAAAAAAAACAAAAAACCATCAACATTCACTTCACAATAAAAATAATTGCTTTCTTTTTTTTTATTTAATATATTCACTTATTTGAATTCCTTTTTATTTTTACTTTTTTGTTTTATATAAAAATAAGAAAAAAAGAGAGGAGGAGACGTGTGCGGAGGAGTTTATTTTGCGGCGAGAGATGAAATGTGGTGCTGGGGTTTAACGTGTGCGGAGGAGTCCCTCCTTCTCTTTTTTTCTCCCTAATATTTCTGTCCTCCTCCTCCTCCGCCCTCCCCACTTATTTGTGGCAGGAATAAACTCAAATGGCACCCCCGTTCCTCCTCCACACAATCCCCCTATTCTCCACTTCACCCCGTCATTCTTCCTTTTTGATTCCCCCCCCTTCTTTTGGCGGAGTGTTGGCCGCCAGAACATAATGGCCGTTAAAAAAAAAGAGAGAGAGAGAGAGCGCCCCTCACGCTGCAATGCCTCGTGCCATGCCAGCGGTGTTGGTTGGCAAAGTCGCGGGCAACCCCACATGCTTCTTCCACCTCCATCCTCCTCTCTGTATGAGACAAGGCAAACATGTGGACATGCAGTCACTTGGCACAACAATACGGCAACAACCCCCCACGCAAAAACACAAACACAAAAAAATACATAAATAAATCAAAGAGAAAAGCATAAAAAAAAGTACAAAAAACAACAACAACACTTAAGCGTGCTTCCTTGCATGTGCGGAAGGGAATAAGTAATTAAATAATTCATAAAAAAATTTACACTTCGCTGGGGCCTCTTGTATCTTTTTTTCTTCTTCTCTTTTCCCATAATGGTACCTACTGGCTGTCGCCTTCCCTATTTGCTTTATATATGTATTGCTTTTTTTTGCTTCAACTCCTTTTTTTGTTTATTATGACTTCTTTCCCCTCCTCCTCCTCTCATTTTTTTTTTCTGCGCAGAGGCACGTCGTCAACTTGACGGCTTGGCAATACCCATTGCGGCAAAACTGGCATTCACGAGTTCGTCCACTTTACCTTCCAGGCCAAATTTCTTCTCCCTTCCGGTGTTTGACACCTTCAGCGAAGTGTCGGGGCAAATGTACTGGGCGCCCGGCTCCTGGTAGACCACTTCCTCCGAGCCCTGCGTGGGGTTGCGGCTGAAGTTGTCCGGCCGTATCTTCGGTGCCTCCATAGACGCATTTAACCGCTCGCGGCGATGACCGAGCAGCTTGTCAAGCGGCATGCCAACAATCTCGTCGTGTGAGCGCGATCGCTCCACCTCCATTTGATGCCGTACGGATTTCATGTCAGCGCCGGAGAGAATTGTTTGACCGCCGGTGCCCTCCAACGGGATGGCCGCAACGTCGTCATGTGACCGCGCATTTTGCTCCCGCAGGACCTCCCGCCACACCCTCGCCAGATGCACCTTCGGGATGAGGCAGCTGAAGGAGTGGTCAAATCCATCGAGGGGCGAGAACTTGAAGCGGCGCGTCTTCTCCTTTGTGTTGAAGTACTCGCGCACGCTGCTGGCCCAGTCCGCATCCAAAAACTCCGTCGCGCGGCGGATGCCGTTGGATGCAAAGCACGCCTCCCGAAGAATGGAGCACACGTTAAGAACCACCTTTTTTCCGGAGAAGTTCGAGATGGCGACGGGGCCATACACTGGTGGCTTGGGAATAAAGAGCACGTCCGGTGATGGATCGTCCGTGAGAAATGCAAAAAAGGGACGTTTCGCAGCGGTGTTATATTCAAAAGTATTTACATTATAAAGATGAATCCACCGCGGAATCGTTCCATTTTCACGCATCACCAATACCATGTCGTGAGTGATGCAGAGATATGCGTTTGGCAGCCACACTTCTGCGTTCCCTTCGTGATCATGGCCCACAAGATCCCCACGAATAAAAACATAAAAGACGGAATTCTCCAGTTCCATAAATGTGTGCCAAAGATGCATGGGAATGTGCCCAAAAGGGATGCCATTGCGTGGGTCGTATGGCGGGAGGCCACGGTAGGGGCGTATGGTCAGTCGGTCAAAGCCAAGCACCATTTGCACGATATACCACACCTGCCGGAAGTCCTCCTCGTTACAGCAGCGTATTGTGGCAACGATGTGCCGCTCCTTCGCCGAGGTACTGCGCGGGGACTGGATTGTACGCACCTGATCTGTTTCACTCAAAGCCGACTGGGAGCTTACTGAGATGGCTGAGGCTGTCGCACGCAGCCCTTGATTGCGGCTGAGTGTTGAGAACTGGTCTCGCAGCAATTCGTACAGTTGGCACAGACGGAACGGGTCTCGGTTCGCCGGTTCCAGAGTTGCTCCCTGCAACCCATCGCCCTCCGAGGCCGCAGGGATCAGCAGCGGCTCCGCCGGTGGCTCATCACTCGCCAAGGCACGCGTCCTGCCGTGTAGCTCCAGCGTAAAGAAGTCCGTTTCCTTCAGGTGCGGGTCGTCCAGGTGGAACTCGTGCACAGTGGACACGACCACCAGCTTGGTGACCTTAAACTTCTTCTTCCACGGCGGTGCGGTTGGGCTCCCTGTCGGCCAATGCGTCTCGGTGACACTGTTGGGGCTGCGATTGACACACTTCTCACGCTCCGTGTAGTACATGTGGCGCCGCTGTGAGTCGAAGGCGAAGAGACGCATCGACCAGCCCTCAAAGTAAGTGCCCTGCTTCTCCGCCCGGAAGTAATACATGATTCGTAGACACGCAATTTAATGTCGTTCCTCTCGTAATCGATAGGGAGGGGAAAAAATGGGAGAGTCCTCAGGTCCCACAGGATGAATTCTTCTTGGCACGCGAAGAGCGAACGCGATGACCGCCGCCCTTATTATTATTATTATTATTTCTACCACTTCCCTCTCTCTCTCACACACTCTTTCTCTCCTCTATGGCTCTCACGCACTCGGACGTTCTTTACATTCAGGAAGTCAGGCAGGCAGAAAGGAAGGAGAGAGAACAGTATCAGCAGTGAGAGAAAAAGAAAAAGGACAATTAGTCGCAAAAAAAAAAAATAGAATTTGCCTCCCCTCCCATAACGTCACACATCCACACGGGCGGAGAAGTGTGCACGCTAAAGACCACCATGTAAACAAAAATAGAGAGAAAGAGAGAGGGAGACATACAACCACACATACATACATACAACCAGACAGAAAAGGTAAAAGGAAGAAAAGAAAATAAAAAAAGACGATTGCAACTCGTCATTACATCTATTCACCTCCTGTTGATTTCATTCGCCTCCCTATTTTTTTATATTTCCCTACAAAATGCAAATACACAAACAAACACATATGTGCCATGTCAACCCTTTGCAGTTTCAGTTCCATCCCTCTCCTTCTCACTTTCTCTCCCTCCCTCCCTCTCTCTCTCTTTATCTTTCTATTCCCAATACACATACATGCATTGGACGCAAAATCAATCCTTTACTTAAGTGTCGGCCATAACTTCGGGTCCACGCATACATCTACACAGTGAATAATGTCAAAGTAGTGATGGTAACAGTGTGGCTCCTTCTCTGGAGGGACACTTTTGATGCGCTCCAGGCACCCATTATAGGCAAGTACCTTGTGGTTACAGTCATTCGCAAGGCATTCCTTTTCAAGTTCAAGTTTAATGTCCTGCGGATCCTCAGCCGACATTACACCTCCTGTTAGTGGGTTTAATTATAATATATTTTTTTCCCCACCACACACCACCACCTCTCTTTTCTGTCGTTTGCAATTGTACAGGCGAGAGAAGAGTGCATCCATGGCACCCATGCGATTCATTTCATTCCTTTTGTTGTTTCTGTTGTTGACGTTCTTCAGTTGGTACTTCCGGCGCTTGGCGGCCAGTGCGAGCCCAGGGAGTTGGTTCTCCTCCTCCCCGCCAATCCTGCTGTCGCCGCTAACAAACATGAAGGGCAACTGATGCGGATCAACGAGGACGCCGGAGCTGCGCAGCTCCTCCGCGTTAACACCGGTGGGAAAGGGGTGGTTGAAGAAGACGCAGTCCAAAAACATCCCTTCGTTCGTGAAGCACACGGCGCTGAGGTCCAGGTCGACAGGGTCCGCGCCAATGAAGTCCCACCGCAGTCCCGCCGAAACGGCAATGTTGTTTGGAATGCGGAACACCTTCTGCCGCAGGTCAAAAGCCATGTTTCAACTCTCTCTCTCTCTCTATTTCTCGTTCTGTATTCTAACTCTCAGACGCACCGCTAAACGTTCCAGACGGCGTGGAGTTCTCTACACCCTTCAAAGGACCTCCAATGCGTCCCTGTTGACACCCACCGCCCCTCCCTCCTGC